GTCAGGTGAATAACCACACTTGGGTCCTGTATGCGTGTCTCACAAACACAGCACACATCCATGCCCGAGTTGCTAGAGTCTTTGCCAACGAAGCCTGTTGGCCAATTTGACGGAGGGTGCGGACATTGAAGGCTCCAATATGTAATTTGGAGCGTGGTTTAAGGAGACCAGGGACGCTGTTCTGTGGACTCAGATCGTTGTCGAAGGCTGCAGAGGTAGGAGAAATTGAAGATGATGCAGCATCATTAATTAAGAGACGTGAAGGAAGATTAGAAGGTAATGATGGAGGAGGAGGATAGCAGTCAGAAGAAACTTGGGTGCTGACAGAGTTGTGAGGGCGGTTGACACTTCCCGGCTGCCCACACCGTGGAAGGCTATTTCTTCTTAAGGTACCTGAAAGAGATTTGTGTGACCGCAGAGCCCATCGGACATCTGCTTGAGGCCTGTCACACCCAGCCTTTTGAGTATGATTATTTTGAATTTTTGTATTTTTGGGGCCGGATGAGCGAAAGGAAACGACAAGTGAACCAACACCGCCGGCCCGGCAGACCGTGGGGCGTGGTGGAGTGTGTTATTTTTGGGGCCGACCTTTTCTAACCCCCCCTTCCACTGAGAAGGCAGCATCAGCTTGGCACTGCTGGTCATCCAAGGGAAACACCTTACTGCTGTCACACCCCATCCAGCTAGCAGCAGTACGACTTCGCCCTCAGACCCCCATCATAGTGTAGCAATTTACACTATAACGGTAACTGCTTTTCGTCTAACCACTACCCAACAGACCTTTCTGGTATGGTAGGACCTCGAGGGAACAAGCGTTCCACCAGCATAGCTCGTTGGGTCATTGTGATATGCAAGCCCGACCACCACGTCAAGGTAGCAGCTATCGGTCGGGGGGTAAAACCAACTTCTTCAGAGTAGACTGGATTTCACTCATATCACGGATATATTAACCCCATCTTCGCCAAAAGTCATATGCTTGCACATTGACAAACGAATTGCAAGCCAGCAATCTTTTCTGGACATAAATTCAGTCGTCGATTCCATAAAATTGAACAATGAGACACATCCATGAGGATCTGACCAAAAGCTTGAAATACTTGTATGAAATCCCTTTTATAGTTTTAAGTCAGTGGTGATTAAGTCGACCGAACACAGGCGACCCCAACACCCAATAAGGCTAGTGAGCCAATCAGAAAGGCATGTTGAAAGTTTATACGGTATCGCAGACAAACGAACCGACAACGGTGATTCTCTTACAATTGCGTTCTGACCAGAACTACGCATAAAGGGAGCTTCACTTGGTGTTCACCAACACTGAACCAACGATGGACACAGACAGATTACATTGCTAAAAAAACAGTCGTTGGAAGACTGCCGCTCATTCTGGAGTGCCTGCTTGAACTTTGATCATGCGTTTATACGGTTGCTTATGTTTGTGTCTTAATGGGCATGGAAAGCAAACGGCATTTCTGAACAATGGTTTAAGTTGCCAAACTTTAAATCCACAAATCAATTAGAAAGCAGTCAAAAGTGGGGCAAAATTATCAAAAGAGAGCAAATTGGAATAAGAAAATACTGAGTTCATTATGATCATCAGATGGAGATAACGTGTGGATACATTTGAGCCACTGAGACATTCGCAGTCATATCACTACCTAGTTTCCAAAAAACTGGTTTCTGTCGTCACATGGACTTCAAATCCAAAGTCTACATTCTTCTACATGCATCACACCAATGGTCGAAAATTTCATACATTGATGCCATGTTCCACTTTTACCCTTTCCAACCTTATTCCGGCATAAATCTACTTCAACTGAAATAGTACAATGAGGCAGGCAGTGACAGGGCATGTGTAACACAACTTCCAGTCACCTCAGTCGATGAAGGTTCACAACCTCATCAAATGACTTCTCTCTTCTCTTCAAAACTCTACGATGACTTCACTCTTACTCAGCTGGTGATACCACGACACACAGTCTGTGACAACAAGGCAACAGTGGTCAAACACATAAAGCCTTCTCATGTCCTCTATCATGTAGTAGGACAGAGACAACTGAAGCACAGTACGCTCAGTCCTTCATGCCAAATCGGATATCGATCGCCGAGGTGCCGGAAATGGAGTAAGTTGGTGAAAGCTAAGCGAGCCCTTCTTACTCATGCAAATATCTCATCAGTCAGTGATGCACCATGCCTCATCCAACTTCCCACGTAAGTCAAGTGCTTGACGCCACCAACCATTTCACTACATATTTTGTTAGACAAAAGGCGGACGAACACCAGTCATAGGACAGTTTACATTCGAGTGGTGAGAAACCCATCACGAACATCCTACAATTGCCACTCAATGTGTCCACAAGATTCCACATATTGTCAGTGTCTTCATCTAACCAGACTATATCATCTGGGTTCCACTGATCAACTAAAACTTCTCCTGTGACAAGGTTAATCCTCATTAAGTCAGATGACGAGAAGGAGGTTTTCACAAGTGCTTCTATGCTAAAATTAAATAAGAATAGAGAGTGTGGACATCCATGATGGACACGATAGGCTCTGAGATGCCCACATGTGTTCGAGCAGTCTTTAGGATAGTAATGAACTTACTCACCACCCGTTTCAGTGAGAAATTTTGTCATAAGACCTCTCGATCCATGGAGAGCCAACTAAAATGTGACACCGGAACGTGAAATTTTTGGCTGTTAGTCTGAGCCGCGTAGAGAGTATTGCATTGTCTAGCTGCAATACTAAGGATGACAGGAATCAGTGGGTAAAATCTTAGTGGCCTAGGAGTCAGTCCCAAAAGTATGGATATACACACGCCAACTTCAAATTCCAAACATTTTAGTAACCTTTTATTCTTTCTCTTCACACTTGTTTGCTCAAGTATCATTATTTCTTCATATAATGCCTTGTAGTGTGTTTGTAGAAATGTGGCAGCTTGGACAGGTGCATTTCTGTGTAAGCTTTTCTGCTGATTCGTGTCTGTCTGATTCCCATAATAAGAAACTTTGGAGGCTCAGCGAAGCGAGTCCACCGATAGGACTGTGACCGTAGTTAAAAAAGAATGCAAAATATGCTACCACACCCAATCACCATATCGACGAGAGATGACGGTTTATTTGATATTGTGGCAGACGCCTTAAAATCTAACCAAATTCAAACATGACAATTTGCCTGACCAGAATGCAGAGACTATAAGCTGTAGAGTCAGAACCTTGAAAAATTAATCGTATGAAAACTCGTGTGATATAACTTGGAAATGAATACACTGCTTCTCCTACACTAAGTTCTTAAAAATACACTTTCACTTTATGCCTACTGTTTATTTATTATCCACCTCAAAATTAAGATCCAGTTAGGTAGCCAAAACGTGTTACGTACACCTAGTCACCGTATACGCTGCCTTGCAATGCTAACTGAACTGGGCTAAGACTGGAAAAAGATCAGAGGTGTTCAGATTAGAACGTAGCGTCAGTGTAATTTGTTTCTAGACGTGATATGAGCTCGACTGAGGAATGTAAGCCTGCATGCCAAATAAAACCGCTGGCCGAAGACCCTATGCCTTAAGATCGATTTTAGTGGAGCACGCGCATTTACGCACTATCTTTGTGCTAGTTATTATATTTCACGTTTCCACTGATTCTTTACCTTCTTTTCTCCCTTCCCATGCCTTTTTGCAACTTTTAATTACATTTTATTCGTCTATTTCTAAATGTTCCGACTTGCTGTCCTTTATCTTGGTGTTCTGGCATAAGGTGTAAGAACTTCGACCACTACACAGTAATATCAAGTCCCACAAATACTTGTTAACTGATATCGTACTAGACTTCGTCATATCCAGCGGCACTATACGCCGAAAAAATGGAAGTCAAAATGCACTCATCAACCACATACACACTCGTGTAGTGGGTAGAGTCAGACCTATTGTGTGAGGAAAAACGATAATCCATGGATGCCCAAACCTCGGTAGGTGGAGCAGAGTTCAAAGTCGTGCCTCAATGTTCGAAAGTTAGCTGTCTAAACTAATATACGATAGTCCCTTTACTATACGTTGACCTAAATCTGGTAGATTTACTATGTCCATCTCCGCACAATACTTTACACATATAAGCATTATTTCTGAAATAAAAACCGCTTTTCTCTATATTATTAAATGACTTAGTTCCAAGGTGGAGCGAAAACATGCGCTAGGTGTCAGTGAACAAACACAAGGAAACTATTGGTATTTCAAAAAATGTTCAGACGTACTACATGTAGTTAAATATCAAAAAAGCAGCAAGCTTACTTGAGGTTTACTGCCTACTGCCGTTTTATCTAAGAAATTACTTACAATTCCTGTAGCTGATTGTCTGAAATTGTACTATTGGTGAAGGCAATTCGCTCCCAAGCAATGGGGCACCAGTTCGAAATCTCCACCTAATGAGGTTACAGTAACGAGGCAGTATCAGTAACCACTACACAACAGATGTGACTCAACCTCCACTACATGAATAAGCATGTGACAGTGAGATTTTGACCCGATTCCAAACTATTCTATCTATAATGCGAAAGTAATGGACCATCGCACAACATAAATTAAAGGTGTGCACGATCAAAATAAGATGCGAATCACTTTTATGAAAACCTAACGGATTCATATGCCTTGAACAGTGACAGGACGGTTACATTAAAGCCCATTTTGAACAGTATCTGAGGCTTATGCGTCAGCAGTATGTTTACTTGGACCTGCATGCAGCCCTTTATTTCAATCTTATTCTATGAATTGTAGGTGGGATACTTAGAGCTGCAGTAGATTCCATAAACGCTACAAAGACCCACAGATGGACAAAAACCCAAACACCATGAAACTATTTGGTATTTTCAAAGATCAGCAGAAGAAATACATTTAACACAATAATGTGCATATACTACTTGGATTCAGAAACTAACAGAAGCGCTTACACTGATAGATTAACTCAACTTAAACAGAATAAACCGGTTAGGAGATTAGTCAATAGACTTACAGTGTGCTTGAAGACCGGACAGGAGGAGCAGGAGCATGATGAGGCGTCTCTGAACCATGAATTAGAAATGTAGCAGATGGTGGTGATAAACGACTAAGATTATTGTCAGCAGCGCAGACATGGTCACTCAGTTCACAAAAACTAGCCGCGTTTGATATCACGTGGCTATCGTCAACTGAACTGTTTGCCTGACTATAAGAACGGTCAGGCATCATGACAAGATTGGTGAATGAGAAATATTAGAATCCATTGATATAAATTTTAGTAGAAATAGATTAAACAGGATCGCGTGTGAAAAAGCTTGAAACATCAGTAAATACCGAAAGATAATGTCCTTTTCGTAGTAAGATGCAGGCAAATTCGGAAGTAATTATCCCGAAACGCTAAGACGACGCGACACATGTGAAACTCAAATAGAATAGCACCAAACTCAAGTACACCGCCACTAAACACAAAGCAATGAACCTATGTGAGTGATACAGCCAAACAAAAAAAAATAATCTCGATAAACTGAAGGGGATATTTAACGAAACGTATATTCATCAGAGCTCAATGGGGATTATCTATTTTTTATACATTCTATGATGCTTTCCTACAACTGCGTTGCAGACAGGATCAAAAGCTGTGTCACCAAAGAGCTATTCGGACCGGTCATAAAAGAAACACATAAAGGTTCAGAGGACAGCAGAAGAGATTAAAGGAGGGAGAAGTATAAAGTGAAGGAGAAGGGAAGTTTAAACAGCAGGGAGTAATGGGGGAGGAAAGAGGCAGCCAGAAGAAAACGTGAGGACAGAAGAGATAGAAATGGTAGCGACATGAACAATGAGGTGGCAGGTGGAGGGGTAGGTCGTCTAGTAAGTGCAGAGGTTGAGGGGGTCATTACCAGATTTCAGATTTGCCGTTTGAGGATATGGGGCTGATAACCTATATTAGTCCCTTCCCAGTAGATTTCTGTGCTTGTCCGATCCCCCTTTGAAAGAGTCAGTTGGTGATGCGGACACCACTTCCTCTGGGAGTCAGCTGCGGGTGATGATTACTTGACGCGAGAACCAGTGGTCTGTGGAGACTATGTTCCCTTCTCTTTGCAGCCTCCCACTACGTCCTCTGAGGTGTTTCAACCTAGTGAGAAGGAAAAGAGAAGACAGATCAGGTCCGAAATCATTTCTCAGAACCCTGTATAGCATGTTTGGGTCTCCCCCTCGCGCGCGATAGGACAAAGTGAAGAGGTTCAGCTCTTTAAGTCGATCTTCATAGGTCAGGTGATCAAACGGGTGGCTGCCTTCTGAAACATTTCTTGAAGGTCTGCGTCATCTTTCAGACAAGGATTAGCCATCCGTGTACATCATACTAATTTAGATCTAATTAAGTAAGTGTATAAGACGAGGAACATGTCACCACCTATTTTCGTAAACGTTCTACGTAATGCCCAGACAGTCTTGAAACTTCGAGCTGTTACCAATCGACAGTATGCTGTGGTTTTCAAGTCACAGCTCACTGCGACTCCCCAGTTATGATGGGTCAGTACTGACGGTAAAGGAGTCCCACCAATATCGTAGGCGTTGCTGTGTGCGCCCCAAGCGCATGCTCACATTTTTACCTACACTGGTGGGCATCAGCAACTTCTCTGACCAGGTAAACAAGCTGTTCAGGTCTGCCTGAAGCTCACCTATATCCTCGTCGTTCCTAATTCCCCGCCAAATTTTTACACCATTGATGTAGAGAACCGTAGGGAAGTTCGTGATATTTGGCAGTTCATTTGCGTACAGGATAAACAGCGGGAGACCCAGGACTGTGCCTTGCGGCACTCCACTCTCTATCGCTTCTAAGTGGAGGGTTGAGAATTGACCCTTACTCTTTGCCTCGTACCAACGAGGAGCTTTCTTATCCGTGCAAGCAGACTGCCGGTGACTCCCGAACCTACCAGTTTCCTGAGCATCCTGGAAAGAGGTGCCTTGTCGAACGCCTTACCAATGAAAATGACATTCACAGGTATCCTATCATTTTAGACGCAACCCAACTTTCTCTGACTGTAAGGAGGTTCATCAAGCAAGAGAAGTTTCTACGAAAGCCATGCTGCGAACAAGGCAATAGAGTGTTGCCCTCTAGGTTAACTATGATGGTTTTCTTGATAATTCTTCCCAGGATTTTCTCCAAAGTACGGGTCAAACTTATCAGTCTGTAGTTTGATGGGTGCTGCCGTCCCCTCAGGACGGTCCACGGAACGAACGGTTGGGTCACTGGTGTATATATATATATATATATATATATATATATGTTTGAAAGAGCACCACACACCTTCAATTAAGGCTTCTAGACAGACTGTCCAGTCCTCCAAAGAGGCTGCCAGGCTAACAGCTCCCATATTCGCTTTCTGCATGTTACTGTATACTTAGCCTAGAACTGGTGAAGCGTGCTGATGATCACATCTGTTTGCTGTCCTAATGAGGGCTGAGGAAATTGGTGTTTCCACCAGCGCGTGTCCATGACATGCTACATGGCGCTTTTGTTGTTAGTCTATTCCAGTCAACCGACGGTGCGTCGATGTCTCCCACAACCAGGTGCCAGTATTTTTCTGTCCATAAAATCGGCTTATTCAGGAGGAAGTCTGCCGTCTCATACTCAGGCTTCGATTTGCTGCGATTACGTTAACATCATGTCCATTTCATTTTGGCCGGCAGCATTTCACATGTCCCAATTTCATGTGCAACCGTTTCTATAGTTTTCATAGTTAAGGTATTCTTAACACAGACGACGAATACCACCACCTTGGCGTGCTGACTTGTCACTTCTAAATCATGAGGAACTCCCAGAAGGATGTTGTCACATCGAAAAATCTCCCGCACCAGACATTGGAAGCTTTGCAAGAACCATGTGGGATGTTATCTGCAGTGTTCACGCCTCTTATATGCCGGACAAAAGTGAGGCCGTTCAGGCTGTTTGCATGCGTGGTTGGTCAACAGGTTGGGAGACTGCGCATCAAAGGTGAAGCTAAAGGTATAGGTAATTTCTGGTTCAAAGGAGTTCGTTCCGCTGCCAAAAAGCATGCAATCTAGTCGGTCGATTCTATCTTTGCGGTGAATCGACACAATTTCCTGAAGTTCGTTGCAAATTTGTCGAGGATGGCTTCCTATCCCCCACACACTGATGCTATACTTATTCCTTCAAGCTGTGCATGCTCAGTGATGTTCTCTAGAGGGTATTTGCTCGAATTACAAAAGGAGTTCAGCGGATCTTTCAGGCCCGATGGTTACTTTGTGGGTGTTATCAGTAAAAAGAAACTTTCTAGGAGGTCTCCCTCTTAGTTATATCCCCTCTGAGTCCCTAGTGGCATTCCTTTTATAAAGAAGGTTACGCTTAAGACCATGAGGTCACTAAAGATGCCTTTTTATTCGTGAAGATCCAACATAACGCCAGTTACGTCCGTTGTGAATTGTAACACAAGGCAGTCACTGGCAAGGAATACAACGCAGAACAGAAGTTAACGTGGACCACAAAAACACGATGATTTTTTATCCAGTGCATCCCTATCAGCTGCAGCTTTGGCCAAACAACTGGTGGGGATGTTGAAACCCTTACTCTGAACCGCTAATCTTAGCGCCCTCGGAGCAACAGAAAAGACACAGTCAAACATGCACACAAATCCTAGACACCAACCACCCAAGTGTTGTCAGCGGATGCGAAAGCACAACAGGTCTGTTGAATCCTCCCAGTGGCATCACCAGCTCTACACAACCACCACGTACAACAGTAAAACTACCTACCCTCTGTGTAACAGATACTAGAGACGACGCTTGCATGAGGTCAAACTCTGTTTATTTGGATACAATTTGTACACTGAACACAAACAAAAACATTGCTTTCTTCCCCCCTGATAAAGGTGATACTATTTGAAGTCACTGTGCGATCGATTTACCACTAGGATATCCTAGCAACTCTACAGCCACAAGTGAACAAGGTGTAGAGGCGTTTCGTAAGGCAACGATGCCGGGCTATACTCAGTCAGGTGACACTGAGGTACCTTTTGGCTTGTTTAGCGAACTAGAAAGCCTTAAACACAATTACTTCTCTGACTTGTACATCGTTCTCATAAACGCAAGGTCCGTCCTTAGCAAACTATCGGTATTGAGAGGAATCGCGCCCATATATAAGCCACTGGTAATAACTATCACTGAGTCTTGGTGTCACGCAAGTGTACCAGATGAAGAGATAAGTATTGGCATGTAGACACAATTCCGGTGTGGCCGGAGTGACAAGAAAGGGGGAGGTCGCCTGATGTACTCCCTGAGCACTCCCACCGTATTCAGGTTGAAAATATGGTTTTTGATAAATTAAGCGACTCTCTATGGGTCACAGTACACTACAGGAATGCTACAGCACTGGTTTACAGAACACCTGGCACCTTTAACAATCATGAGATTCCACTGGTTATGTCTCTGAAACATGCATCCCTTCTCCCGTATGATCATAAGATCATATGCGGTGACTTTAACCTACCTGAAATTAAGTGGGATTCACTTACTGGTCCGGCTAGGTGTAACAACTTTTTCTATACACTGTCTATTTTTGGATGGAAGCAAATTGTTACAACTCCTACAAGAGGTTACAATGTATTGGACTTAATATTTTGCCATAACATAGATCCTGCTTTGACGAACGTAGGCTCCAAGTTCCCAGGAGGTGATTACAATACGGTATTATGTGCACTGCCACTTCTTGCAACTACTACTTCAACTGGTACTTCCACTACACACCAAATAGTATGTAGAGACTACGGTAGGATGGATTGACAGCAGATGTGTCCAGTGATTACGTGCAATGACTGGTGATCATCCTTCACCACTAGAGACCTCAATTTAACCAGATATGTTTTCCTGCAACTCTAAAATCTGTCTCGATACCATCGTTCCACTGAAGGGTTTCAAAAAATGCCACTAAACAATAAGCCATATATATCTCCCAATGCTCGTAGAAAGTTGCGCAAACTCTCAACAAGATACTGCAGACATCACGACATCGATGCACTTCGGCTGATTCTTGGCACTCTTAACTCTATCTCGCACAACCATGATTTGCGTTTGAAGAATGAAGAGAGCCGTGCACTAACTAGCTCATCTAGAGTATATGCTCTCTCAGCACTCCTTGAGAAGCGATCGAATTGCACAGGACATAAAATTCCTCTTCTTATCCATGACACCGAAGCTTATAATGATCCAGTGGATATATGTGAAATATTCAGCGACTTATTTACAGTCAGTTATCTGGAACCTATAGATTTTTCGTATGACACTAGCGTGGTCTGCACCTCCAAAAGCTATTCTTCTCCCCAACTAACGATGATAGATACGGTTGAATTCACATACTCTAATATTCACCAAGCCGTCAGAACGCTAAAGTGCTCCAGTAGCACTGGCACAGACGGAATATCACCACATTTTTTAAAATTTGGTGGCCCTGATATTCCATTACTACCA